GAAGCCATCTTCTTCATGTTTCGGTAGGATATTGATAATCTACTTATAATCATCACGGTACAAGTTAGTATTATAATGGTTGGAATGAATACCGCAATGGGAATTACAAATATTTGATTATAAACAGCGAATTCGTTATTTAAATAGAAATCAGTGAAATACACCACAGCTATGGTGGTATTTGTTCCACCCCAAAGTTTGTAGCTTAAACGATACATAAATTCTCGTGGAATATAAAATATTCCCACTGAAACATAAACAGCAATAATTGTAAATTTTATTCTATAGATAGAAAGCGTGAGGCTACAAAAGGAAAACACACAGCTATCATTCTTTCTATAGCAACGAGTGTCACCATATGAATGCTAATACAAACAGCACATTGGTTCCACCCTGACACATACACAATGTAGTAACTAAATAGTTCACTTCCCACCTCCACATAGAAGAATAAAGACAACATTTCCCCAAGTTGGTTGATAAATTGTGATATCGAGTAAAACAGATCAGCCACAGCTAGTCCTGTTAAAATAACGTTTGTTGATTCGTTTAAACCATCGTAAGTTAGAATTATTATTGTACAATATTTCCGAAAATTCCGAAAAGGGAAATGATTGGAATCATGATAGCGTTTAAAATGAAACTTGCTTGTCGAAAAGAATCATATGATACATAACAGAAAGGCGTGTTTGGTGATTCAGTCACGCTTGATGCCGTTGATCTTGATACATTGAGGTCTTCAATGTCCATTCTTCGACTTGATCTGTTTGTAAATATACAATGTTTTTAAAATTGAGAATATTACTAAAATATTGTATCTATTGCTCCCTAGTCTAGTACACCATCTTATGATTGCGCATTGAAATTCCAAGCACAAAGCCAGGGCCCTAAGTTGAGAAGAGGCAGATGGTACCCATGTTCGAACTCGGGACTTTCGTGCTTACCCGACCAACCACTCCGACCCTATAATATATATTAGGAGTACATTAACTACTGTGTTGTATAATTTGATATTTAAAACATGTTATATATTATTATGTCGCCACCAAACAATATTATTTTGTGCAGTTCCCCCCCCCCCCCTCCCATCGTCCGCCCATTCGTAAAAACTTTAAATGGTTAATATCCACAATTTACGTAACATACACTCAGAACCTACTACAAATATATGAGTCCAGAATGTTCTTCGATGGACTAATGATATTTAAGGAAATCCGGAAAGAAAAGTAGGCTGAAATTAGAGTCTATATGCCATATGATGGTAAACAGAACAATTGATGATAATTTGTACGGGTTAAATACCTTCTAATATTACGCTAATTTAATCAAGAAAGAAGAAAAAAGTGTACACCAGTAATTCCAAACAGTATCTATTTATACATGAGTAAGTGTTATTGTGATGAACACACACACGCTAAATTACATATTACTTCAAATAGAAGCTATTTATCATCACACATAGGTTACAACTATAGTTTGAAGTTTCTTGCTTCCGAAGTCATATTTGAAAGTTGTTTGTTATATTTTAAGATTGAAACAACATTCTACAATCTGTTGTAATGTTTATCTTCGTAAAGACTCAATAACTAAAACTGCATCTATTCTCAGACTCCTTTCCCCCAGACCTTGTACATAGACCCTCTCTAGGCACAGGATCGTTACCTTAAACTTACAAGGGAACAACATCTAGATTAATTACTCTAAATCTAATATACTTATAGATCTTTCACTTGGAATACAAATGCGTCACCTAAAAACCCTAAACCATGTCATTGTACCGATATATAACTGATAGTAATTACTTTGAACTTATACTAATTCATTTTATAATTTAATAAATAAATTAAGTAATATCATTTATTTTCACGTTTTACATAACATAGGCAGTAAATGTAAAATTATTTTCTAGATAGGTTGCAACCTTTCGGGAGGTATGTGTTAAATACAGTTTGCGAGCTAATATGACAATTACATTCAAACACATTTGTATTAACTATTTAACAAATAGAACAAGAATTTATCCACTAAGCACGCATCTAAAACATATGTCCTACATTGTGTCATGCCGCATCAATGTGAAATAAATTAATAATTATACAAATAATTAGCCTCTAGTAAAAGTGATATTACTATTGATTAGATAATACTATTGACTTTTATTAGGGAGCTTGTAGAGAGTCAACAGTACTAGAAACTGTAAGAAAATCACGGCGCCCCACGTTTTTGATCGCTTATAGTAGAGTGATCGCTTGCATTATTGTGATGTATAGCATTTATTTTCTACTTTTTAGTTCAATCAGAAAACGTGGGTTTTTAAAAACTTTTTTAATGATTATTATTTTCTACTTTTTAGTCTTTGTCTGTTTGTTTGCATTGAAATCTTGCTATCGATTTTATCTTTTCACTTTTTTTTGGGTAAACGAAGACAACTCGTAAAAAGACAACTCGTAAAAAACGAGAGACCCTTTCTTCTTCGGTCTCAATCGCAAGTGAATGAATGTCAGAGGTTAGTTGATAGCGGTTAGGACGAGGGCTGGTTACTGACTAGAACACATAGATTTGAACCCGTGTCGAGTGGGATAGCAATCTTGTGCCCAACCACTCGACCATATCGTCTCCCCCAAACTGGCCACCAGTGGTAATAGTTACCTCCTGTAAGTTTAAAGTCGGTTCAAACTAAATTATCTGCCCCTAAGCCTGTCGCGACGTGGGATCGTTCGCTTCACTGCGCGCGGCAAGAGAGAGGCGAGCTACGCGTCGCTCGTTTTTTTTCTAATGGCTCGCAGAGGAGAATTATATATATAGATTATATAGCGGTCTAAAATGCTCAATAAAATGTTTCCATTGATCAATTTAGTAATAATAACAATTGAATATTCTATGGTCATCCAAAAGAAAGCTTCCCTGAAAATTTCAGCGCGCTAGCTAACTGGGAAGTGCCAGAAATTTCGATCGCAAGATTTGATTGGAAAAACAAACAGAGAAAGCAAGTTAAAGAAAACGTGGGAAAAATCAACTTTTGATAACGTGAATAGAAGTCAAAATTCACTAGTTTGTCATTATGCTTTTTATAAGGTTTTCATCAAATGGTTACCAATGGTGTATTTATATACGTGTAACCGTGTTATTAGAAGTAATTTAAATGTAAAAATTGTCTGCACTTTATTTCTTTTATCTTCCCAGTTGTTGGGGTGCTAGTGTATCTACACTACAACCAGGACACGCCCGGCTGTGCAGTAAGCAAACATTCATTTTACGCTGATCACCCTCCACAATGGTGAAAAAGAAAATACCTCAGCGACGGCCCAGGTGTTATGGGCGTCGCGGGGCTCTTGGAAGCCACCGGTTATATTACTATACGGTGACGGGTGCAACACCCGGTTAGATTTAGTCATTGTATGTAATAGCCCGATGTGTCCCTAGTGTAGGGTGGAGGCCCACATTGCATATTGAGTGCTGACTCAAGTAATACACCTATCCCTGTGTAGGGCACCCACTAAGCGGACCCCAGATGAAAAGATAGCCACTAGGTACCACTACTCCATTATTTAAAAACATATTAGACCTATGACAGAAACCTTTGCGGAACTGTACCCAGCAACTGTCTAAATTTTCATGGCGATCCGAAGAATGGTGTAGTAATGCATACAAAAACAGAAATATGTTTGTCACATGTACAGCTGTATGTGGCCAGCTCATGCGTCGGAAAACCTTCATATTTAGGGGCCATTCATAAGTGACGTCACGCTTTTTTTGACGAATCACAAAAACAGACCCACACCTCCAAATGTCGTCAGTTATGAATAGTAATTGATTATAAATAATGTTCAATTAATTAATGTACTAATAAATAACTCTTTTAATATTATCGAAAATAGTATTAACTTCCTTGTATTGTGAATCAGATTCATCAATCAAAAACTAAGCAAATAAATTAATATATGCTGACTAGTGTAGAGATTCATTTATCTATTCTCTACTTGTCATACTAAGAAGGAGAAGGGGGGGGGGGGGTAACGGAACTTAAAAGGGACAACAAAGCGCCGATGTACGTCAACATCTGTGATGATCACAAATTATTTTCCTAAAACCTATTATAAAAGTGACTCAAAGGAGATATACATATATAACGTCCTCTCTGTCTATGGACTTAGATTTTTTTTCCAAAGAATTTAGCCGGCCACAGCGTGTTTGATTGTCGGAGAAACAGAACACGGCCATTACAATGGTTGAAAGAACGGATTTGGTTTTATGTAATCTTTTCGCTATCTGTGGCTTGCCAATGTAGGTCAAGAGTTTGTAGGAGAAAGAGAACACGGCCATCACAATGGTTGAAAAACTAAGAGAAAAATATAAATGTGAAAAAATGCACGAAATTTTAATTTTAAATAAAACAAAATTAATTATGGACAGCTGTGGGTCCCCTAAGCGACCTGCACCCCCTCCCCTATGTTAGGATGTTTACATATAAGTATTCGCGTAAATTGAGAGTAACGTCCCTTTTGTTTACATGTTTTCATTACCCTTCAAACTATAGTCTATTTTAGTTATATTGAGATTAAATAATGTAAATCAATAGTACACACAATTCTGTAGCATAGGAACGATTGGGAGGGAAGTGACATATATCTCAGGAGGTTAGCTAGGGTATAAAAGGTGGGGTTAAGAAGTTTTGGGGGTCCATTCTCTAATAGGCAGTCTAGGTCTTGTTCGTAATTTCAAGTAATAAAGAAGTTAATTTGTATACGGACTTCGTTGGTTTATTGTCGACCCTACCCTTATCTCACATAGCAACACCCCCACCCCCCCCCCCCCCCCCCCCGCGTATCGTAATCTGGCAGTATGGTTGTGGACTTTTTTCTATTCAACAACGGATGTGGTTTTATGTAATCTTTTTGCCATCTGTGGCTTGCCAATGTAGGTCGAGAGTTTGATTGTACGTTAAGTCAATCTTCATTTTGTGATAACAGCTTGGATAGTAGTTTAAACAGAGCTAAGGACAAGTGTTGCAGAGGATGTCTGAACTATATCGCTTCAAAAGTGTGAGTTGTTTGCGTGTAATATATTATAGCCGTTTTATTTTCCATTTAAAAGATTATTTATGAAATATATATATATATATATATATATATATATATATATATATATATATATATATATATATATATATATATATATATATATAATTAGTCCATTAATACAGTCCATTACAAAGTTGAAGAAAACAAGTTACTAATCTTTTTTTTTGTACTTGCTTATACTTGTCAGAAAACAAACTAAAACGTGCCGATCTACGTAAAACGTTAGTTGGACACAATTTCTCATATTAGTGTTACATTGTATTCGTTTGTTTCTATCAAATTTTGAACATATATTTTACTCTATTTCCGTGTACACTATAACTTAAGTACTGTAATAGTTAGGACAACAAAAATTTCATGTACGAGTATAAGATATTGATATACTTTGATAAATAGGCCTTTGACTCTGATTTTAGCCTGCTTTTCTCTCTGGATTTGCTTCCAGATGGTTTACCCCCATAGATGGTTTGCTGTCCTATAAAGTATAACGATTACTGTTTTAAATGAGTTCCTTTCCTAGATGGGTTGCTGCCCCTAAACAGGTTGCTGCTCCTAGATGGGTTGCTGCCTCTAGCTATAGAGCATCTTCTGCCCGTGGCAGAAACCGTCACAACTTCCCTGTACATCTTCTAACAAAGCTGTTTTTAAATTGTGTGACATAAACGTGGTTCTCTAAAACCGATTGGATTTGATAAGATATGTTTTTCTAGGAGATTTGAAGTATAGAGAAGAGAATACCATTTGGTATGTGCATTGTTTTTCTTTCGAGCGGACAGTTCTTTGTGGATTGACATAATATTTCTGTCGATAAATCTTACGTTTAGTGACGTGGTTTATTTTTACTGGACGGGCTAGCTCGTGATAACACGTTGATCTAAGTAGTGCGTTTGGAACCAGAGGTTGAAACTGCCGGTTGTACAACTTACGAACTGTCCCTTACAACTTACGAACTGTCCCTTACAACTTACGAACTGTCCCTTACAACTTACGAACTGTCATTTACAACTTACGAACTGTCCCTTACAACTTACGAACTGTCCCTTACAACTTACGAACTGTCATTTACAACTTACGAACTGTCATTTACAACTTACGAACTGTCCCTTACAACTTACGAACTGTCCCTTACAACTTACGAACTATCCCTTACAAATTTCGAACCGTCTTTTACAACTTTTGAACTGTCCTTTACAACTTACAAACTATATATTACTACTTTTAAACTGTACTTACATCTTATGGAATGTCCCTTACAGCTTACTAACAGTTTACTGTTCCTCACAAAATACGAACTGTGTTTTACTAATTACAAACTGTTCCTTAAAAAATTACAAACTGTGCTTTACTAACAACCCTAGCTCCGGTGCACTCCTACTAATTTGTCTTATATATAACTTATAACCAATAACAGCAAACGACCTTATAACATCTACATTTCAAAATAATCATAGCAACCCTTAGCATTGTGGGGTATGATGCGCGGACCTCCGAGAAATTACTGTTTTATAAACAAAAAAAAACCCTATCGATATGTTGAGGCCGCTTGAATGTTTGGATATTTGTCGTCGTGTATAGCCGTTCTGGATTTAAACCAAAAGCGTATCACACGACGACAAATATCCAAACATCCAAACAACCAAACACACCGATAGGGCTGGGTTGATATACCCAAATTTTCAGAGGGCGATGTCAACTGTAGACAAATCAAGCACTGGGGGTACTCAACACACCGGTCTATGTAGTACATCTGGTCTAGACAGTGATGGCCAAACACACCTGATAGGAGTTCGACGCCAGGTGATCAACGTGTCGAATTGGCGTTGAAACGCCTCGATCTGTACGAATAGCCATGTTTATAAGATCTGATGGTGCGGACGTAAAAGAGAGTTAAAAAATTTTTTTAACATTTTTACCTTTTCGGACGTACTAGAGAGCAAATTTTTGTTAAGTTTTTTTTTAATTTGCTGAGTTATAATGACAGGTATTTGAAAAAAAAAAAACTAAATTATAAACAGTGAAGTTTATAAGGAGTTGCCATTTAAAGTTTCCTAAGGCTACTTGATATTCATCTTCTTATTCTCCGATCCTAATTATAATGTAGGAGGGGGCGTCTTCCAACACTATAATTACGTATCAATTTTAAGCTCCATACGACCCGTTGACAAATTTTATGCTCCATACGACCCGTTGACTTAGCCTGCATTCTTTAATAGACTTTTTTTCCCCACACAAGAACAAAATTCAAGGCAGCAATAGCTTGATTATGGAGATTTCTCTCTTGAGTGGGTAGCTCTCACAAGCTATGGAGCTTCATTTGCCCGCGGTTCGAACTCGTGACTTCCGTAGTAAGCAATCACCCCCTTTTCTGCCGGACCGTGGCGCTTGTGCTTAGTATGCGACTTAAGGGAATATATTATTGTAAGAGTTTAAACATGGGTTTATGATTTTTTATACTAGTTTTAACCAGTGGCGTTGATAGGATTGTCGGGCCCCTATGCAAAAATTATTAGTGGGCCTCCTTTGTCAGCCGTTATGTTACAATGGAGTTAAGTTTAAATAATATAAATATTCTTTAGGCCTACATTTTATATCTTATACGTCCTGATTGTGTATTTATATTATATTAATATGTAGTTTTGTAAAAATGTTACAGTCTTACAGTTAATTATTTAAAGTAAAAAAAAAACAGAGTAGCGTCATAAGGCGGGATCAGAGGTGCGGCCCGCATCGGATGTCAACATTTAGGAGTGACACCATGACAAAACATTGTACAATTTACTGTCAAACCAAGTTGTATTCAGTTAAAATAACAAAAGATTAGTGAGAGAGGGGTGACACCACACCGGAAATGCTAAATTGTGGGGTACGATGAGGTGACACCTTTAGAAAACACGTAGGATAACACCCGACATTGTGAAGCCACTAACTCACTAACCAAATACATTTTTTAAAAATTGCTCATGATTTATTTAGATCTATGTTGTTTCGTTCTTTTAATTTTGTAAAATGATAAATAAGTTCATTGAGATCTACTTTGGCTGCGTCTGTATGTTCGATTGTTAGGATGACCAAGCTACTGGCTCAATGGGCATATCTACAAATAATAAGATTTAAGAATTCCATCATAGACATCGAAATCTCCTTACCGATCACCGTAAAATGTTAAAGAATGCTTCAACTAACTAGCGTACCTGTGGCAAATATGCTCTAGCGAGTCATACCGCACATAAATAAATATAGCCGCAGCTACAGAATGACCTGTTTAGTCTAGGGTTTGTCTCGTTGGACAAGAGGTCCCTTAATAGTAATATTGCGTTTATTAATGTTGGGTTATTATTATTGACTGATTGCCGATATTTGGCTCAGTGAAAAGGGTTAAAATTATGATTGAGTAATTAACTCAGTTTCACAATCCTTTAACTTTTATTAATACATTAATTATTGGCATAGTAATAACGATACAATTTAAAGTAGCCTGGAAGGGGCGACTGGTCTTCAGGGCGGCGTGGTCACACTTCCTCACACACAGACCTCTGTACTAAGTTTTAGCCCCATGCTGGCCGGCTTCCAAAGAAGCCACACAATCCTCTACACACGTTGCCAAACGTACGTTTAATTTCTCCGAGGAGAACAAGTGCCGGAGCACCAAAATAAGTATGATATATTATGTTGGCTAGTGCCTTAGCACCAAAAAAACGTGTACCTCCGAGGAGGGGAGAAGGTAGAGTGACCGGACTGTAGCGTCCCTACCCTACAGGTCACATGACTCAGGCTCCGCCCTCACGACCGCAGTCTGAGGTCGAGGCCCGGTTAGCCTTACGATACCGCTGGACTCAGGTCCAGGTGTGTACCGTTACCTGTGGGGTAGCAGGAAGGGGGGAGAGGTGGAGACACCATGATAGATATAATCTATCATAACATCCCCCTCCCCGCGATAATGGTTTGCTGAAAGCACACCTTTAGCGCAACCTAAACACACTTTTCATATTAAATCCTTACATACCATACATTTTGTCATTGTGTAAAATAAAAGGTTACAGTACGATCACATTATACAACTGTATTACATAAAAATCAAGGAAATCAAAAGCGTTTACACCGCTAAAAGTAATCAATTTTAACTACATATATAAGTAGGACTATCATAAATGTAATGACACCTATGTCCAAAAGAAATGATGAGTAGTATAACTATATTTAAAAGTGTTTACTTGGTACATTCAATTGAATAGCTGTGCATAGTAGACCCTACATTGAAAGTGGGTGCTCTATGAAACAAATGCAAAGACATGTAAAATAAGTATACATTCATCATGTTAACTAAACATGTAATTTATCAAACTGAAATAAAACACGATAACAAATGCATTTTATGTAAATATACATTTATATAGAATTGTCTATCTAGCGTCGTATTTTGACCGTTCTGACCACCTACATTTCTGTAAGTCTTGTTACAGGCATTGGTTCAGAATTGATTGTCAGGCTATTCTTGTTTTTAGTAATGTGGCCTATAGGCTTTGTTATAATTTTTATAACCGTTATACACAATGTTATTTATCATTGGAGCAATATGTCTTTTCTTTGGAGCATAAGTATTAGCTGTAGCTTTTAGTTTTATTGCACTGGTTTTTATTCTGTCTCTAAATGAGTCCCAGTGTTTATAATTGTTTTGAGATTTATTTTCGTGGTCAGTGACAAAGCCAACCTTAGTTTTCTTGTGTGTTTGACCAACATTGCATGTCTTGTAATGGTAGGATACTGACTTAGATAAGCCAGGCCACCAAAAATGCTCTAAGATTTGAGCTTTCATTTTGGCCACGCCCACATGAGCTGACCGCTTGTTGCTGTGGGTCAGGTCAAGTACCACCTGCCGCAGCGGTTTAGGTACAGCCAATTGATCCCACTCGACGCCCTGTCCGTCGGTGTATCGTCTCACCAACAGTCCATCGCTGTTAAAATAAAACTGAGAGGGTCCGTGATGGTTTAGTTTAGTCTGAGCGAATAATTTAGTCTTAGCTAACGTTTCGTCTTTTGTCTGCATTTGTTTGAACTGTTCGACAGTCACGTTAAATTCAGCGATGAATCTTGTAATGTCATTCTTTTTTGTTACTTTCTTAGTTTGTGCCTTTGTGACGAAGGCGGCTGCTACGTCTAGGTTATCACCCATCGTCGCCCCACTCACGTTACCAATTATTAAGTCCACGGTCGGGTCTTTCAGGAGCGCCGCTTTAGTGCACCCGGTAAAATATGGAGATTTGATTCTAATCCATCCCACTTCATAAACCACTTTTCTACCATCAAATAAAGTACAAGTAACGGTGTCGTTATTGTTTTGTCCATTACTCAATGATTCCCTGCAACCAATAATACTACACCCGGTATCTCTTAATACCTTAACCTTTTCCCCATTAATTTCACCATCAGCTATGGTTCCCCCCTTAGATTCCATGCCCCCCTCGAAACATGCAAGACCTAACTGAGGATCCCTTCTTTGATCAAAATGCTTTCTGTCACCTATTGTATCTTTGTCCGACATTGCCAATAACTGTTCTTCTGTCTGATGGCTAACAAAAGGGTTGCCAGTGCTAACCTGGCCCACCGCTGCGCTACCATAGCCTCCCCTTCCCCTGCTGACAGCAGCTGCGGGGTAGGCGTTATTTCTGACCGGACCCGAGTATGGCTGGCGGTCAGTGTGACCCTCGCTCCGTGACCCGGCATTCTCACTCGTGTAACGCTTTAGGTGGACACAATCGTCCGTGTTGTGTCCCCTTTTAAAACAGAAGGCGCACGACTTGGGCTGATTGTTAACTTTGTAATCTAGGCCTATGTGTGCTATTGGTTTAGTTATATGCTTTATACGTGCTAGGTTTTTATCTGGATGCGCTATCATGTAATTGTCGGCTTGGGTTAATACCGAGTCCAGATTTAGGTCATTTCTCTCAGTGATGAAATTGACCACGTCCTCGTTGACAGTGTGTAGTAGTTTATCTACCACCATCAAATCACGGAGGGCTTCAAATGACTTGTCGATTTTTGACAAGTCTACCCACCGAGTAAGGTAATGTTTTGCTCTGTTGCTATAGGCCTAAGCAACAATAGACTCATTAGCCTCAGGTGATATGGCGTAAAACTTTTGCCTATATCCCTGTGCTGTCAGGTGAAAGTGACGACATAGAGCAGTTTTTACCTCCCCGTAGGAAGCTTTTGCTTCCGCTCTGTGTCCCATAAAGCACACTGGCAATAGTTCTGCCGGCATTAATTTGCGGAGCTCATTACTCCAGCAGTCTTGCCTCCATCTGTTTTGCCTAGCCTCTTCTTCAAAACGAAGGAGAAAAAAGTCTAGGTGATCGGCCACCCCATCAAACTTTGGTAGTGTTACCTTCGATGATCCGACACCTATTTGCTCCTCCCCCTTCCCCACATACTCGTTGCTACGATTCGCTAACTCTATTCGTTTAATTTCCAACTCTAACAGCTGAATTTGACGCTCCTCTTTTTCCTTGTCCCTAGCCCACTCTGCTTGCTTAAATTCTCGTTCCTTGTCTACCCTAGCCCACTCTGCTTGCTGAAATTCTCGTTCCCTGTGTACCCTAGCCCGTTCGGCGTCCACCTCATCCCTAACCCATTTTAAAAGCTTTGTCCCCGCGTAACCTAACGCCTCCCCCTCCCGCTTTATCTCTAGCTGTGACCGCTGCGTAGCCTGGTAGGATGCCATGGCGTCCGGTCAACTTTAGGTCAAGAGTAGGATACCTTTGTACAGGGTGAATGGTAGGGTGGTCACTGATCAGGGTACCCAACTAGTGTTAGCTGTATTTTTAAAAAAAAATTAATGTAGAGCACTGACAGTATCTGAACTTGCCTGAACAAGAGACACTTACCGAAACTGCAGTGGTCGCTCTGAGTCACCCTGGGAAGTTAGCTGGGTGGTATCAAGGGTGGGTAGAGCTAGGTCTAACTTTGACTTTAACAATCTGAAAACTATAAGTAATTACTAGTAAAGGATGTACAATTGTATTCTAATTGTGGCATAAAAAGTAACAAAATTAAATTAAAATTAAATTCTACCTTAATATATATAACTATATATATATGATAAAAATGTACCAGTATTTATAGATATTTTAACAAAATCTAGCTTTGATACGAGCCCCCAATGTGGCAAATATGCTCTAGCGAGTCATACCGCACATAAATAAATATAGCCGCAGCTACAGAATGACCTGTTTAGTCTAGGGTTTGTCTCGTTGGACAAGAGGTCCCTTAATAGTAATATTGCGTTTATTAATGTTGGGTTATTATTATTGACTGATTGCCGATATTTGGCTCAGTGAAAAGGGTTAAAATTATGATTGAGTAATTAACTCAGTTTCACAATCCTTTAACTTTTATTAATACATTAATTATTGGCATAGGAATAACGATACAATTTAAAGTAGCCTGGAAGGGGCGACTGGTCTTCAGGGCGGCGTGGTCACACTTCCTCACACACAGACCTCTGTACTAAGTTTTAGCCCCATGCTGGCCGGCTTCCAAAGAAGCCACACAATCCTCTACACACGTTGCCAAACGTACGTTTAATTTCTCCGAGGAGAACAAGTGCCGGAGCACCAAAATAAGTATGATATATTATGTTGGCTAGTGCCTTAGCACCAAAAAAACGTGTACCTCCGAGGAGGGGAGAAAGTAGAGTGACCGGACTGTAGCGTCCCTACCCTACAGGTCACATGACTCAGGCTCCGCCCTCACGACCGCAGTCAGAGGTCGAGGCCCGGTTAGCCTTACGATACCGCTGGACTCAGGTCCAGGTGTGTACCGTTACCTGTGGGGTAGCAGGAAGGGGGGAGAGGTGGAGACACCATGATAGATATAATCTATCATAATAGTACCTGTTCGCGTTGCTGCGATCTAGTCTACATACCATGGTAACGAAACAATTTGTAAGGGTTTCACCAACGCATTATCAATTGTGTATTTTTAGTCGTGTGACCTTGTTTTCTAAAACTGAGATAGGTCTAGTTAAAATGTAAAAAATACTGTTTTTTTTTCGGATTTTTGATGCGTGGGCGCGGGTTGGACGACACTATCGCTCAAACGCCCTTGGGCGTGCTGTATAAAAGTATTGAGTGTACCTTAATCATCTTCCTTAATAGTGTGGTTGAATACCTTTCGGCCACCACGTAGGTCCCAAGGTCTTTGAAGGAGTGACTGGTTACACCGCCGTAGGTAGCCGGATACAACCTCTGGTTCTGAATAGTCCTTGTCCCTATTGTAGAATACTCGTGTGATTTGTGGGTGAAGCCGACCCTGTTGCAGTTTGACCGCTGAATCAACACTCTGCAAGACGCCCAATCAAAGGATTTCATGCACTCGGTTGCCTCTGGAGGACACCAATTATTCGATTTAGTAATCGACTTTAGAATCCCGACGTATTCCTAGTGTATGGCGCTCATTAAAACGAATATAGGCGCCATAGTGCTCTTGGGGGACACCGGGGCGCACCGGGTTACACGACCGCCGAGGTGCCGGCTGCAATTTGACCATTGAATCAGGTAGTAACGCTGACCTGCTGCGTCAGACACCCAATTAACAGACCCCAGTTGCAAAGATAGCCGCTTGGAAACTCTCGGTGGCAAACCGCACCGCCTTACTATCGGGGCGAAGCTCTCCGAAATAAAATAAAAATTTAATGGCAGAAACCTTCCCAAAAGTCAGAGTTTCTTTCAGGCACCTTTTCAGGAAAAATGTCTGGGAAAAAACATTTCCTGTGGAATATTCTTAACGGCTTCCCAAAGTTTCTTGGCGATTTGATGAAAAAAAAACAACCTATAGTGTTAGTAGTGCCATATTTTTTAAAGATTAATTAGATCAACAAATGAAAAGTCTTTAAGGTAAAGAAAAACAGTGACAAATGTTAGATTCATCTGGTTGTGAGAAAAATGTTCATGGTTATTTATTTTTTTAATGACTCAGTTGTTAACATAGATGTTTAGAAAGATGGAATTTCGTGGAGGGCAGACAGTTTTGAGAAAGGTGCAGTTCTGTGGGATGGGGTAGGGAATTCCCCAGTCAGTTGAGGTTTGTAGCAATGCATGTAGATTTACTGGTGCTGGATGCCAATCTTACAAAATAGTCAAAGTTCAAGTTTATTTATAGGCTAATTCTCTAAATGGCTTGAACGACCATGCGGCAACGCCTGTAGTAATATTATTACGGATGGGCCCTGTTCGACCCCCACCCCCCACTGAATCCCACTATTTGTAAAGTACGAAAGGACTGGGGCCTTTTTTTGGAACTATTAATTATTTCTACAATAGAAAATAATCTGAATTTTCCTTTTTTTTTAAATTAAAGAAATATTAAAATTTAAATGTAAAAGAGTTAATTTTTTTTAAAGAGGGAAAAGAGCCCCCAAATGCCGTGGGCCCCTATGTCTTGCTTACGCTAGCTTTACGGTAGCTACACCACTGGTTGGAACATTGAAATGTTAGAAAGCATACATATCTGTGTGTACGTAGGTCCAATCATGTAAAGATTAGAATTACATCAAACAGTAGCCTATATAACAGTATATAACATGAAGAATATAAATACACAGTTTTATTATATATATATATATATATATATAGGCATATACACTGCATAGTTATTTCACAATTCATCACTAGTTTCATACCCTAGCAGGCTATGTTGAGAGATGATGAAGAGGATCCTCCTGGAAACAAAACCGGTCCCCGAGTTACAGGAGAAGCACAGTGTAAGTTTCAAGAATATATATATTCTAGCCGTCCCGTGAAAATCCTATCTGTAAGGACCATGACTTGTGTGTTTATTAATCAGCATATACCTGGCATTGTTCGGGTTTAAGAAATATATTACTTTTCAAATTAACCCTACCCACAAACAACCAAAACTAAACACAAAAACGCAAATATAACACAAATGCAAACACAAATAAAAACACAAACAAAAACGCAAACACAAACCGAACTACAAACGCAAAAACAAACACAAACTAAACACATAGAAAAACAAACAAAAAGAAATACAAACGCAAAACACAAACGCAACCACAAACGCAAAAAACCCAAACCCAAACACATAGAAAACACAAACGCAAACAAAAAGCAAACATAAATACAAATAGAAAGAAAACGCAAACAATAACTCAAAATAATGCAAAAAACACAAACTTTAATGCAAACATAAAAGCATACTGCTTATAGTCCAGCCCGGGGCGCCAAATCCAACAATGCTGAGCGCCGGCGGAACCGCCTGATTCAACTTTGTAAACGACTATAGTACCCCAACCTATTCTTAATCTTATGAGCTCACTTAAGCGAAGCTATAAAACATAAACATAGCTCTTAAATTAACATGTTTCTTCGATCTTGCATTAACCATCGAGAACGTAGAAAAACTTTACATTGCTAATTGTACTGTTAAAACGTCTGATTAAAATGGTACGAACTATGATTAGGTAAAAAAAAACAAGACAACGTTCATCATGTTTGGCGCGACAGACAAAAAAAACGAATTCCCATTCGTGCGCAAAAAAAGACACAAAAAATAACCTGAGGGAATTTACGTTCTCGAATAAAGTAATCTTTTTTTACGTCAACTGTCTTTGATTAAAAATAACAATTAGTAAACAGAACGTTCAGTGTATAAAATAAATAACAGGCAGAATTTATAATATCTACCACATTGCACTTGATCAATCCGCGCTAATTATGTAAATATTTGTTTGCCCAACATCAAAACGAAGTAATAAAAAGTAATTCCCCCCCCCCCCATGTAATGGGTTTTATAAAGGGAAGAAAGAGTGTTTTCCTAATTTATCAAGGGACGTAATAAATTCATAAAAACTAAATGTAACTACTTTTCAGACACAATTGGAAGTTTTATGAATGGTGATAGATTAAAAAAAAATTCGATTAACATGCCGACAGTTATGACTTAAAGTAAAAAAAAAAATTGTTTTACAACACCTTCAATATTAATTTTTTAAATCATTAGTTTAGACGACGAGCACTTTAGACGTATAACACTATGGTGATGAACTATATTATTTCCTTATATGTCTTTGGAAGCCGCGGTCCGCCAAATACATACATACATACATACATACATACATAATAAATATATATATATACATATATATATATATATATATATATATATATACATATATATATATATATATATACATATATATATATATATATACATATATATATATATATATATATATATATATATATATATATATATATATATATATATATATATATATATATACATAAAATATTTTAATCTATTTTTTAATTACTTAAACTTTTTTAAAATAAAATAGAATCTCGTGGAAAAAAGAATTGTACACAAAGTGAACGCCAAATAAAGTGTGTATGATAGTGCGGAATATTATTAATACTTTATAAATTTTATTATTAATACTTTATAAATTTACATGAGTTTTTTGAGAAATCGGAAATAGCCTTAAGTACTACTTCCTGTCAACGGAAGTTACTCAAAATTTTATATAAGGCAGAGAATTAGATTATTTACTTATATGTGAAATTTCATTTATCTATATAAAATAGCAGACCTACTCATGTTATAGGCTTTTAAAAAAATTGAAAGTAGAAAAAGTTCCACTTCCGTTTATCGGAAATCGCTCAAAAGCTGATACAGATCTACAAATCTGATATAATACATATATATATATATATATATATATATATATATATATATATATATATATATAAATTTCATTAACCGAGCTGTAACGGTATTCAAGTTATCGTGTTTACAGACACACATACACACACAAACATACACACATACACACATACACACACACAAACATACGGACAAGATTGCAAAATTATGTTTTTCCGACTCACGGAGGTGTAAAACTTCGAGATTTGCAAAAATCTCGATTTTTTTTGCATTATTACTATACTTTCTCTATACTCTGTATACAAGATAGTAAAAAAAAAAAACGCTTTATATGCATGTATACTTAATATGTTATATGTTTAAACCTACAATATTAAAAAAAATTACACCTCGTTATGACCACTTTATAGGTGACCACGAAGTACAGGAATGCGAGGCGGGTGAAACAGAGGCTAACTTGAAAACACATTGGACACATGGCACCAAGAACCCATCCCACAAAGGTTTTATTCCTTGGAGCGAGTTAAATAAAAACCACGACATGAATCCGACATATCATCCAAAGTATCGTGTGAGTAGTTTGTGTGTAATATATGTCATCGCCGTTTTATTTGCTATTTAAAGAATTATTCATGAAATGGTAGTTAGTCCATTAATACAGTCAATGAATTGATTACAAAGTTGCATAAAACAAATTATTAATCTCCTTTGTATTTGTATAGACTTATCAAGAAACTTAAACTAAAACGTGCCCATTTACGTAAAACGATAGTTGGACACTATTTCTCATATAGGTATTACATTGTATGCGCATGTTTTTATCAAGTTTTTAACAGATATTTTACTCAATTTCCGTATTGTTATAGTTAGGTAAAAGAGAATTTCATGCTCACGTATAAGATCTTGAACTTTGATAAATTGAAATGTGAGCTACTTATTCTTCTTTCATAATTGTAATGATGGACAATATTTCCGCCAACGCAATTAGGTATTACTTGTCAACTTGTCATGTGCTATATAGGCCGTTGACTCTGATTTTAGCCTGCTTTTCTCTCTGGATTATCTTCCATGTGAGTTACTCTCATAGATGAGTTGCTGTCAAGTAAAGATTGTTGTCCTAGATTAGTTCCTTTCCTAGATGGGTTGCTGCCCCTAGATGGGTTGCTGCCCCTAGATGGGTTGCTGCCCCTAGATGGGTTGCTGCCCCTAGATGGGTTTCTGCCCCTAGATGGGTTGCTGCTCCGAGATGGGTTGCTGCCCCGAGATGGGTTGCTGCCTCCAGCTATAGAGCATCATCTGCCCGTGGCAGCAACCGTCACAAATTCCCCATACATCTTCTAATACAGTTTTTTTAAAAAATTGTGTAACATAAACGTGGTTCTCTAAAACCGATTGGATTTGATAGGATAACATGTTTTTCTATGAAATTTGAAGTATAGAGAAGAGAATACCATTTGGTATCTGCATTCTTTTTCTTCCAAGCCGACAGTTCTTTGTGGGGTCATCCATAAATGACGTCACGCTGTTTTTGAACGATTTTTACCTACCCCTCCCCTCCGTCACACGTCGTTTTAAAAAGTCAGACCCCCCCCCCCCTAAAATGACGTCACACCTCAGCCTACAACCCCCCTCAAAATTACAGTTGAATTTTTTTAAAACATCGATATTTTTCCAAACTTGTCTGAAATCTGTCAAAATAGAGTATTTTAATCAATTCCTATTACAATTTATTAAAACAGTTTTCTAAAACTCGAAATAACGTTTAAAACTCGTTTTCTAACATTGCTTTTTTATAATAAAAAAAGTGTGACGTCACACTATCACACATGGTCACAAAATTACCGACCACCCTCCCCCTCCGAGTGTGACGTCATTTTTGAACGACCCCTGTGGATTGACATAATATTTCTGTCGATAAATGTTACGTTTAGTGCAGAGGCGTAACGAAGGGGGGGGGGGGGGCGGGGGTACATATGTCCCCGGGCGCCTACCTTAGGGGGCGCCAAAATGGGTTAGAAAAACAAATTAAAATCTAATTTTAGCTGCAGCTTTGCATTATAAATATACAAAATATATCGGTGAAGGGGGGGGGGGGGGTTGGGGGGATGCAAATTGAAAGTTTGAGGGGGGGGTGCAGAATGAAAGTTTGAGGGGGGGGGGGGGGGGGCAAAATTGAAAGTTTGTCCCCTGGCGCCGGGAAGGGTCGCTACGCCTCTGGTTTAGTGACGTGGTTTATTTTTACGGGACAGGGTAGCGCGTAATAACGATCACACGCTTTTTAGCCGGACCACGCCGTGGCGCTTGTGCTTAGTAGGCGACTTATGATAATATATATATTAAGCATGGGTTTGTGATTTTTATTAAGGGAATATATAGGTTTATGATTTTTTTTAAGGGAATATATGGGTTTATGATTTTTATTAAGGGAATTTATGGGTTTATGATTTTTATTAAGGGAATATATGGGTTAAGATTTTTCTAAAGGGAATATATGGGTTTATGATTTTGATTAAGGGAATATATGGGTTTATGCTTTTTATTAAGAGAATGTATAGGTTTATGATTTTTATTAAGGGAATATTTGGGTTTATGATTTTCTTAAGGGAATATATGGGTTTATAATTTTTATTAAGAGAATATATTGGTTTATGATTTTTATTAAGGGAATATTTAGGTTTATGATTTTTATTAAAATAATATTAGGGTTTATGATTTTTATTTAGTGAATATATGGGTTTATGATTTTTATTAAGGGAATATATGAGTTTATGATTTTTATTAAGGGTATACAGGGGTTTATATATGTATATATAGGCTTATATCAATATATATATATATATATATATATATATATATCAATTTATATAAATATTATATATGTATATATATATATATATATATATATATATATATATATATATATATATATATATATATATATATAATTTTTATTAAATGAATATTAGGGTTTATGATTTTTATTTAGTGAATATATGGGTTTATGATTTTTATTAAGGCAATATATGAGTTTATGATTTTTATTAAGGGAATATATGCGTTTATGATTTTTATTAAGGATATATAGGTGTTTATATATGTATATATAGGCTGATATATATATATATATATATATATATATATATATATATATATATATATATATATATATATATATATATCACTATATATATATCAATTTATATAAATATTATATATATATATATATATATATATATATATATATATATATATATATATATATATATATATATATATATATATATATATATATATATATATATATAGGCATAAATATTGTATAGTTATTTCACAATTCATCAATGGTTTTATACCCTAGCAGGCTGTGTTGCGAGATGATGAAAAGGATGCTCCTGGAAACAAAACTGTATTTATTGGTACCGGTCCCCGAGTTACAGGAGAAGCACAGTGTAAGTTTCAAGAATATATATATATACTAGCCGTCCCGGCCAGTTCCCTGCACTGGCCTCTCTGAAAAGTAAACTACTATAGTACCCCAAATTATTCTTATTCTTATGCGCTCACGTAAACGAACGTAGGCGCCATGACGTACACGGGAAGGCCCAGTAGGACAAATAGCATCCTTTCGTGGCGCGGGGGACGCCCGGATTCGAGTCAGTTAAAGACTATAGTAACCTTTCTAATCCATAGTCTACCGCACTGTTCAAAACGAAATTACGCCCCATAGCGCTTACAGGATAGCCCAGGGCGCCAAATAGAACCCTGCCGGGGCGCCGGGTTGACGCGCCTGATTCAATTTAGTGAACGACTATAATACCCCAAGCTTATCTGTAAACATAAAGATAAAAGTAAACATAGAGGACATTCAGCAGCTGGCTTCTAAACTGTTTAAAACATATTTGCGATGCAAAGCAATGTCATCTGATGGAAACTTTGAAGCTAAAGTGGAGAACGTAGAAAAACTTTACACTGCTAAATGTACTATTAAAACGTCTGCTTAAAAGGTACACACTATGGTGAGGTAAAACAAAACAAAAAGACGACGTTCATCATGTTTGGCGGCGCGATAGATAAAAACGAATTCCCAATTCGTGCGCTAAAAATAACATGTGGGAATTTCCGTTCATGAATAAAGATGTTTTTTTTACGTCAATTGTCTTTGATTAAAAATAACAATTAGTAAACAGTACGTTCAGTGTATAAAAGAAATAAAAGGCGATGAAGTCTATTATTTTCATTTTATGTTTATGGAATCCGCGGTCCGCTAAATACATACATACATACATAATTGAACTTTATATATATACTTTTAATAGGTAGACGATATATATATATATATATATATATATATATATATATATATATAATATTAAAATATAATATATCAACAAGTTACAATACACAAACATACTGTAGCTTATATTTGGGTACAAATGTGCAATAGTTAAGGTTTATTAATACAAAATCATTTCAAAATTTTGACTGATGTAATGTATACTTAACCCGATACGTAGAAATGAACACCAACGAGTCTTTTTAATTTAGATTTAATTAGGTTGTAATTTACATATATTTGTAGAAACTAAATCTCAAACTATATAATTCTACTGATGTTTAATAACTAATTTTAACGTTTAAAATCTTTAGCAGCTAAATTTCCCATTCGAAGTCAACCATTTCATTCGTTGTGTTTTTTACAAGGTGAGTTTGATACTTAGTTTTTAATTTTGAATTTAGAGCACAGATGGTATCATGGTAAGAACCCTTGCATTCGTCTAATTTCTGATAATAGTATTAGGAGTAAGAAGAATGACTATTATAAAAAAATATCTGTTTTGGGGGTATCGCTATTTAAAATTCAAATCTATATAGTCCATAAAAAAGATTTTTACGCCAAAATATAGGTTTAGCGTTTACCCCAATAATCCTTTTACGTAAAACATTGGTGCCTTATACAAAGGCTAATTTTGTTGCAGGATAATGTACACATTTTATTTTCCCGCTAGCGAGACTGATGATTCAAATCCCCCTTTTACAATTTAAATCAAACAGTCTGCAACTAATTTTAAAAAAAATCTGTATATGCATATATAACTTATATGTTTGTATATGTTTAGACCTACAATATAAAAAAAAAACACTTATACACCTCGTTATGACCACTTTATAGGTGACCACGAAGTACAGGAATGCGAGGCGGGTGAAACTGAGGCTAACTTGAAAACACATTGGACACACCTCACCAAAAACCCATCCCACAAAGGTTTTATCCCGATGTGCGAGTTCAATGAAAACCACGACATGATTCAGATATATCATCCAAAGTATCGCGAAGAACTTTGCAAGCTAATAAAACTCACAGCAGATCTTACGGTTAGAATTTCTGTCACACACACAAGTCTTGCAAGACCGAATTTTATTGAAAACACAGTAAAACCTTACCCATGTAGTAATTCTAGGGGTAAAAACTCACTTCGAACTGGAACTGGTATGATAGTTGGTGTTACGAAGTTCCAGGAGGAAGATAAGAAAACGTGTCCGTGTGAGGTGTGTAGATCTTCGGACACGCCCATGACGACATGGTGGGTGGCCGGCGTGATGACAGCTACACATGTTGTGTTCGACACGAGCGAGGCGGAGACAGCGAGGTGCCGGCTGTTCTTCGACAGCCAGGACAGCCCTTTGGTGATGCTGGACGGCTGGAGAATGTGGGACATGACCATCAAAGGGGACACTTGCAGGTTCTCGTGCGCGTCACATGATATGGCACTGTATGAAAAAATGTCGGAGATCTTTACACGGTATCTGCATTTCCAGACGAATTTTGATGATGTTTTGACTTATATCGTGTCGCACCCGCATGGATGTTTCAAGCATGTTTCAATAGGGATCTACGAGAAAAAAGAAATGACCAAAGCACAACTTTGGTACAGAGCAAGTAGGTATCATTACAAGTTAAGTACCTGTGCAGGTAGTAGCGGCGCCTTTGTGTTTACAAACACCAAACTTCTTGTCCCTCACGTGCACAGTGGATCAAAGGGGAAATGCAACTACAGCGGAGAAGGGTTTGAGGATATAATTTAAAGTCTACAACATCACATCTTTCTTGTACAGATGGTAGAACTTGTAGGGTACATATAGCTTGCTGTCTTTCACATATGATAGACTATAGTTTACTCATCACAACTATAATTCTTGTACAGTTGGTAGAACTTGTATTGTGCACATCGCAGCTATCTTGTACAGAGGATATAATTTAAAGTGTAGGCCTACACATCACAGCTGTCTGTCTTGTACCGAAGATAGCATTTGAAGTGTACACATCACAGGTATCTTTCCTGTACAGAAGGTAAAACTTGTAGTGTACATATCACAGCTATATGTCGTGTACAGATGGTATAACTTAAAGTCTACACATTATACCTGTTTCTCTTGTAATAAAACTCAAACTTAAAGTCACACATCTTTCTTGTACAAATGGTAGAACTTAAAGTCTAAACATCATACCAATCTCTCTTGTAGAGATGGTAGAACTTGTAGTGTGCATTTATAGCTGCAGCAAAAAAGTGCCAATACAAGATAGATGCCATTGTATTTATGAAAGAAATAACAGTTTTACAATAAAAATAAAGTAGTTACCCTTCCAAACCGACTTTCAATGGTGTAGTACAAGAAAATTTTACTTTATTGTGTCCTTGGTAATTAAAGGGGTAGTATTGTTAGCACCACGCTCAGCCAAAAACAATTAAAGAACAGGTAAAAACATCTTTTCTCAAAGAACCAACACGTTTTTGTATTGCTTTGTTCTAAGGTTTTCATAAATATTTTTATATGCAATTTGTCACAATAATTTTATAATTATAGCTATTAGATGCAGTGGCGTAGCGAGGTTGGGTGTCACCCGGTGCGGCACTTAATGTTGCCACCCCCCCAGAGGCGTAGCGACCCTTCCCGGGGACAAACTTTCAATTTTCGATACGCACCCCCGCCCCTCAAACTTTTGATTTGCAGCCCTCTCCCCCCCCCCCCTCAAAATTTCGATTTGCACCTCTTAAAATACTATTTAACACTCGAATTAATCACTTACCCGGTGCGGTCCGCACCCCCGCCCCCTCGCTACGCCACTGATTAGATGTATTGTTGCAGTTAAAGATTTTTAGAAAGATTTGTGTTTTAAATATTAGGTGTCCTCATAAATAGCTTTTGATAATAGTTTTGATAACTGGGCTGAAACTTTTCATTTTACTACTTGTTATTTGTACTTAGTGCCCTGTCCCTGTTCTATCCTCGTTCTGTGAGTGGTGTCAGTCCAATTTGTACCTGTTTGTGTACGTGTATACATGGTGTTTGAGAACGTGTATAACCGCCTCAGTTCAGTTCTTCCACAAGATTAGTGTAGGTTAGTTCTGTGTACTTTTAGATAGCTACTGTATCGTAGTTTTGTGTAATAGTCTTTATTAGTATTTAGAATAGCCTGTGTTTGTATAGAAGTTGTATGTAATTGTAACACATATGGTTACCAGCCAAGGGGGGGGGGAAGAATGAAGTTTTAATTTATTGGGTTGCGGCCCCTGTGGGACCGCAACTGAACGGTTGATGTAGTTTTTAGCGCAATTTCCATACTGACAATTGCGATTATTAATTCGTTATTTCTGGATGGATGGATGGATGGATGGATTAATGGATGGATGGATGGATGGATGGATGGATGGATGGATGGATGGATGGATGGATGGATGGATGGATGGATGGATGGATGGATGGATGGATGGATGGATGGATGGATGGATGGATGGATGGATGGATGGATGGATGGATGGATGGATGGATGGATGGATGGATGGATGGATGGATGGATGGATGGATGGATGGATGGATGGATGGATGGATGGATGGATGGATGGATGGATGGATGGATGGATGGATGGATGGATGGATGGATGGATGGATGGATGGATGGATGGATGGATGGATGGATGGATGGATGGATGGATGGATGGATGGATGGATGGATGGATGGATGGATGGATGGATGGATGGATGGATGGATGGATGGATGGATGGATGGATGGATGGATGGAGGATGGATGGATGGATGGATGGATGGATGGATGGATGGATGGATGGAAGTGTGTCCGCAGCTTTAAGTCGTATCTCCTCCTCAACGAAGCAATATCGAGGACTAGTTCCAAAGCAAATATGTTAAGCAAGTTCCGAGGATGATTGTGGGCCAAAAAAATTCACGGAACTCCTTCCTGGATTTCCCGGAAAAGCCAAAAAAAAAACCTCGAAAAAATGCAGTTTTTGGCCCATATCTCAGCAACCAGACCACTTAGCGACTTTAAACATTTACCAATCGATTCCTGCCATAATTTAGAAAAATATTGCCGAAGAAAGTTTTCAAAAACTTCCTTTCGTTCGGTCACAAAAACATCCTTTCGTTCGGTCAGAAAATTAATTAAGGAAATTGCGCTTAAATTGTCACTAGACCTTTTATTAACTTGTTTTTCATGCTCTTGTGAGCGATGTTACCTGTGTCCCATGTCATGTGACATGGGACTGTGGGTAGTTTCGTGCCTAGCCGTGTCAGTCACAGGCAAGGCTGCTGTCTGTGGACACGGTGACGGTACTAAGATGTAGACTTAATGAAGGTAATGTGGTTATATAAATTATGTTTATTGTTAGAATACTTATTTGTGTATTCCTGCTAGTGCTGCATGTGCACACTAGTTAGGTTGAGTATTTATTTAAGTATTTATTTGTTGTACTACTTATTGGTACTTGTTGGCAGTACTGTGTACTGGCCGAACATATTTTATTGTACCCGTGTATGTTTGTAGCCTACACGTGGTGTTATCATTAATGTAACTTTTTCTTTACATTTGTATAGGGCTACAGTTTCTTTGTTTCTTTTTTCTTCGCTTTTTTCTCTCTGTTTTGTAATCGTCGTAGTACTGTGTTCTGCATCGCCGTCATGGCTCGATGCCGTGAATAAAGCCAGTACTTGACAACAACTGTCGGTGTCAGTGTGTCCTAACTCTCAGAGTCAGCCCGTCTTAACCACAACACCTCAGTGGGTAAAAGCATCCCCACTGAGTGAGGGTTGCATAATATTAATCTCTTTTTAGTATTAACGAAACTTTGTTTCATTCAGTCTAATGTTTTGTAACCCGTTTGTGGTTGTTTGTCTTATACGTTTCGCGACGCACTTGATCACAGGTAAAGGCTTGTCACAACAATGTGACAATATGGAAGATGAAGCTGTGGGGTATGGTTTTAACAATATCAAGAAAACAACTCCAGTTACCTACTGTATAGCTCAACAGAACACAATTGAATATAACTTGAAAATGTTCAAACTAATTTCAACATCCGTTTAACATATTGAAAAAAATGAAATAAATTATTCTAATAGCATTACTTTAAAACATTTTATCAAATGTAATAAATATTAAATTAAACTAAGAATTACAAACAACATTCACCCCCATTCACCCCCTTCACCCATTCACTACACACACTCATACTCATACATTTAACATATGAAATCTACTTCATCTGCTCAATGGATCGCTAGATCTAAAAAAGATTTTATACTTTATCTTGAAAGTCTATCAAAATGATATAAAGAATTAAGTTAACTTTGATATTTCTATGTAAAACAGACACGCAATGTGGACGGACTTGAGCTATACAACCTTGAGTCACCAGCCTTTAAATTTATCTCCGTCTGGTCTTACAAGCTTGTACTGGGGACCTTATTTTTCCTATAAAAACATAAGGGCGATTCGAGTCGGAAAAAATACGCATGCGCAATGGAGAGAAACTATTTCCTTCATTTGCGGCAATGTTTTTACATGCGTGTGTTTACAAACAAACCACAAAACCGTAACCTTAACCCTAACCCTATCCCTAAACCCAACCCTAACCCTATCCATATCCCTAAACCTAACCCTGGCCCTAACCCTAGCTCAGCTATTAGGGTCACTGCGCTTGCGCAGAACTATTTACTTTCGTATTTTCTTCCGAAAAATCTTTTTCCGAGTAGTCACTTAGAAAAAAAAACCCACACACACGGAAACATCTCAACACAGCAGATCAGAGTTTTTTTCAGGCATCTCTTCGGGGGGGGGGGGGGGGGGCGAAGTCCCCCCCGAAAAAATTTACCGCCCCCCCCCCCCCCCCCGAACGAAATGAAATTTATATAATTTATATAGAAAATATATACTTTTAACAGTGTCCCCCCCCCCCCCCCCCCGAAGAAAGTGTACCGCCCCCCCGAAAATTTCAAGTGTCCCCCCCCCCCACGGAGAAAAAAGTCTGGAAGAAACACTGCAGCAGATCGTATCTATTTGCTTGAGTTTCTATCTTGTATCCAACACATCAGAGGCGCCAACAGCTTTAGCAACACCCTTCTCTTATTTCAACTGATTTTTTTCTAATGTTACTTCCTCAAACTTCTGCCCATTTCTCATCTAACTTATCAATGAAGTATGATTGACCAAAAACTTGAAACAGCTCGTCTCTGTTAATAGACAGAGCCAGCATTTCTATTATCCGAATTGAGGAATTTTCTGATTCATGAATTATTATTGTAATGTTTTAAAATTGTTTTAAAGTAATGTTTGTTTAGTTTTTAATTGCCTCAATATAAAAAGCATTGGCGATGACAACAATAGCGGATGTAATTTTTTTCCCTTTTCTTTTCTTTTTTTGCCTCAGACATGTAATTTACTGGGTCAATTTGCCTTTCCATGATCGCTTTAGTGTTAACAGTTTTCATCATCGGATTATTAGGGCTGATACAGATTCACAATTGTAATACTTCTTTCTGGATTGAGCTTTCATTCAAACGAGAGGTTATACCTATACATAATACAAACAATCTAATTTCAATGACAATTTCAATGGAAATGCATATGTGTAATTAAATTGTGATATAGTTTTCTGTGAAAAAAAGCTGAAATAAATGTGACATAAAAGAATAATAATACCATAAACAGCGTAGATGAAATATTGAGTAAAATGAGACAAAACATTCTTCCCTTTCAAACCGCTATAATCATTGCAATCTTGCTATGTTTCTCTTTTTTTAACATTAATAAAAACAAATAATAATAATAATAATTTATTTTGTAGTGTTATACAACTTCAAAGAGATGATCATAAAGTGTAAATATAGTAATTAATCGAAAAACGTAAAACGGCATAAAAAGTAAATCAAAATAATCATTAAGGGATGTGTATCTCTTCCTAACATTCAGATTGTCGCCCTTGAACCATTTAAGTAACAAAAGGGCTGTTCTGATGTGAATTTACTCTTGTGCTAATTAGCTTTAGACTCTTAACTAATATTAATACTTTTCTCCCTCTTCGTTGTATTTGGTGAAAGTTCCTATGCTAGGTCTTAGGTTTGCTTTAAATTTTTCGTAGCCTAAATGTGGATGTCAGAGTTAATTTAAGAATAATCTCATTCTATTCCTAAAAAACACAGGCAGTCGATCTATAAATAACTGTTGCTACAAGTATATTTTCGTCTTGTTAATTAAATTCAGTGTGATTGCTTTGTTTGTTGTGGCTGTTTGATTGATAGTTTTAAGCTTTCGCAAGTGTTTGCAAGCACGCTCGCACATACGCACACACACACACATACACACACGCACGTACAAACACACACACACGCACGTATATACACACACACACACACGCACGTACAAACACACACACGCACATACGCACGCACGCACGCACACATATTCACACTCACGCACACACATCGATTACAACATAAGCGTACTAGTTTCTTAAATTCTATTTCATATAACACATATAAACGTACACACAAATGAAAATGCTCTAAGCGAATCAATAACACATTTAATAAAAAAAAATCTCTGATCTTAATCCGTCATACAAAACTTTCCC